AAAACTAATGGCCCCGGCCCATCCAAGCATGCGAATGATGTGACCCGCTGAGGCTTATCCAGTCCATCGATACGCAAGCTGCAGCTATCCACTGAGCGGCCGAGTTGAGCTCCCCGCATAGCTCCGAAGGCCACCGCCGCGGCCGCGGCTAGTGCCTTCTCCCACGGGCGGAGGTGTCTCCCACGCTCGCGCTCGTGGGTCAACGTCGCACGCTGTGGTCTCCTACACCTACACCTGTTCGTATGATCGTTTCTGGCTTATAAGTCGCCGGTACTGTTTTATCGTGAGAGAAAAATAGTGTATCATGACGGATAAGTATGGCCGATATGATCCAGCTGAACATGGTGCTAGCTGGTATACGTGTGCTCTTCTCTCTAATCTAACCACAACTTGTTCAGTGCGTCTCGACTCTCGAGCTAGGCAGAAATCGCCGGACTATTCCATTTATACTTGTGCAAAATGAGCCTGGCCCGACCCGACCCACAGGCCCGGTCCGAGCCTGATGAGTTTTAGCCTGTCCACGAACCCTACTGGATAAGGCCAAGACTGGGCAGAGATCCTGTTGTCCAGAAATAATTTTCTTGGCCCGAGCCTGGCTCGAAATACTTTTTTTTTGCTATTTAACACTATAAAATGTCCTGGCGGCCCAGTCGGACGGTCATGGTGGGACTTTTTCGGTCCGAAATAATCAGGCTTTTTTTTGTCCGGCCCACAAAATGCTCGGTTCTAATTCCATTGTTGACATTGTTAGGTGGTTCTTCTTCATCATGCATGTAAGAGAATCTTGTAGCTAAGCTAGGACTTTAGAATTTAGTGTCGCAGACTCTACATATTCAGCATGTTTGATTTTTGGTTTTAGTCAGGGCTTATCAGCTATAATACAGTATTTTTCTCTCACAACGAACCAGCATCAGTCGGACTTATCAGCCTAGAAACCAACCAACGAACAGGCTGATTGTGTGTGGTATGGTTGCAAGAGGCTAGCTGCTGCTTGGCGCAGTTCTTGGTTTTGGTTGCAAGCGCATCTTGTCAATGATTTGCTCGGAATTTAGCCTTCTAGAGCTGAGGCCGGGTCATGCAATTAGTCAAAAATGGGAAGACTGCAATAGGTTGCTGGTGTGCCTCATATCACCATGCCATCGTTGCGTTTGTCAAACAAGGAGCCTACAAGTTTGAAGTACATGGCACAAGAGCTAGCTAGGCTCCAAGAGTAATTAGCTGTGTGCTGTCACAATTTCCGTTTTGTCATATTTATCCTAGTGCTGAATATTCTGTATACTCCAGTCAAACAGTTGAATTTAGTTAGCAAATAACAGTTTTTGATAGGTTAGAAGTTAGATCCATTTGGAACTTGTTTTGACAAAACGGAGTATACAGTCCAGAGGGAACTGATAGGATTGATGGGAGCAATTTTAATTAAGCTGTTGGTAACTTCAAGAGCTTGGAAATTGTTTTGAATTGTTGCATGCTAAGATCTGGTCTCCACTCTACGGTCCAGACAAGAAAACTGACAGATTGATGGGAACAGTTTTAGTACTGGTAACACACCAAAATATCCATGCAATTGAAAAACGTGATTATTATTGCAACAAACTGATCTAAATTATTATGGTTTGTAATAAATAAATTTAAATTATTATGTGTTAATAATAAATGGGTTTGTAATAAAGTAATGTAAATTATTATGGGTTTGTAATGTATATATCTTCTTGTGAATTAGGTGTTGACATAATGTTCTTGTGAATATATAAGTATATATGTTTTGGTCAGATTTAAATTTTTAAATTTTATTTTTTTGTGAAAAAATATACTGTAGGGACGGTTCTAGAGTGAACCGTCCCTACAAATGAAAATTATAGCCCCTACAAATACAATTATAGGGGCGCATGATGACATAAGTCGTCTCTACAAATCGATTTATTGGGGCGGTTTGGGAACCCCATACAAATCCTTGATCTATATAGACGGTGTGGTAGGAGTGGCTGGCAAAACCGTATCTATAAATCATCGCTAGTTGGCCCTATAAACGTTTACTGTAGTAGTGTAGAGGGAGCAAAACCGGTGGAGAGCTTGAGCGGGAGACCGCCAAACTAACCCATAAATATACTTCTAGTCCAATCCTGACAGCCTCACGCTCTGAGTAAAAATTTCTCAAAAAAAAAGAAAAATGATTTTAAAAAGATTAAAAAAAACGTCGGTTGGACCTGGTTTTTTGAGTTACCAGCCAAAAACTAATGGCCCCGGCCCATCCAAGCATGCGAATGATGTGACCCGCTGAGGCTTATCCAGTCCATCGATACGCAAGCTGCAGCTATCCACTGAGCGGCCGAGTTGAGCTCCCTGCTCAGCTCCAAAGGCCACCGCTGCCTTCTCCCACGGGCGGAGGTGTCTCCCACGCTCGCGCTCGTGGGCCAACGTCGCACGCTGTGGTCTCCTACACGTGTTCGTATGATCGTATGTAACTTATAAGTCGGCTGAGCCCTTTGCAATTTTAGCGACCTATTATATCACATAAAGAACAACTAGCTCTTTGTGAGAGAAAAAAGCAGGATGCATGTGAGCATTTTATTGGAGTTGTTCATGTAGATATACTACTTCTTTATCACGATGCGATCGATACGATTAAGAGAACAGAGTGCTAGCTGGTATACATGTGCTCTTCTCTCTAATCTAACCACAGCTTGATTATCTATCTTGTTGAATATTGTTGGAGTTTCTTGTAAGCGTCAGTGACATGCTTAGAAATGCTCGCGAGAATCTCGAAATCTCGAGCTAGGCAAAATCACCTCATTACACTATTTCATTTATACAATGTGCAAAAATCTTGAGATCCGACATATAAGGATGATTGGACCAAAATATATTTTGTGATCGGAGCATTTGAGACCTTTTGAGTTTATTTTCTTTGCACACTTAATGTATATTATTCTTGGATACACCCGACCCTTAATGCAATATAGGCGTGGCAAATTGAAAAAATGCAAGGTCTCGATTTTAGTTTTTGTGATAAACATGGTGTTGATGTTCCATCGCTCCACGAACCTTACGGCAAATCAACAAGGCCTCAGCTAGCGAGATCATCTATATATTGGTGTCATTGATCAAATAAGTCAAGAACTTGATAATCGGTTTGATGAGATTAAATGGAGTTGTTGTCTTGTATGGCAACCTTCAATCCTTCTAATTCATTTGAGTATTTTTGATGCAAAGAAGCCAAGATGGAGCTTACCTAAATTTCTCAAATAATAATTTGCTCTGCATAATTTGCTAATTGCTACTAAATAAAAATATTGATGACATGAGGCAGGATGATAGATTCAAAGGTCTAGAAAATATTGTTGATCTCTCGCTTAAGCTTGTTCAAACAAGGAGGCATAAAGTGTATGATATGGTTTATGAGCTTCTCAAATTGGTATTGCTTCTACCCGTGGCAAGCAAGAGTGTTGAAAAGGGTATTTTCCCAAAGTTACGAAATAAGATGGGAGATAGTCTTTTGGATGATTGTCTAGTCATTTCATTGAGCACTATAAAGATGCCCCCTTGAAAGCGTCGAATAAAAACATCAACAAAATAACATAGTACGTCATATTTCAATTATCGGCTTTTGATTTTTATTGGTCCAAAATAATCAAGCTTTTTTTGCTGCCCGCCCACAAAATGCTCGGTTCTAATTCCATTGTTGACATTGTTAGGTGGTTCTTCGTCATGCATGTAAGAGAATCTTGTAGCTAAGCTAGGACTCTAAGAATTTAGTGTCGCAGACTCCACATATTCAGTTCGTTTGATTTTTAGGTTTCGATGAGTTTTAGCGTCCACCGAACCTTTATCACCTTATCTGATGTCCGTAATTTTTTTTTACACTATCTCACAACAAATCAGGCTTTTTTTTGTCAAAGATCATTGTCTTCGTCATGTAAACCAACTAATAACCCAACCAACAAATGACTGTGTGTGGTATCGTGGCAAGAGGCTAGCTGCTGCTTGGCGCAGTTCTTGGTTTTGGTTGCAAGCGCATCTTGTCAATGATTTGCTCGGAATTTAGCCTTCTAGAGCTGAGGCCGGGTCATGCAATTAGTCAAAAATGGGAAGACTGCAATAGGTTGCTGGTGTGCCTCATATCACCATGCCATCGTTGCGTTTGTCAAACAAGGAGCCTACAATTTTGAAGTACATGGCACAAGAGCTAGCTAGGCTCCAAGAGTAATTAGCTGTGTGCTGTCACAATTTCCGTTTTGTCATATTTATCCTAGTGCTGAATATTCTGTATACTCCAGTCAAACAGTTGAATTTAGTTAGCAAATAACAGTTTTTGATAGGTTAGAAGTTGGATCCATTTGGAACTTGTTTTGACAAAACGGAGAATACAGTCCAGACAGGGAACTGATAGGATTGATGGGAGCAATTTTAATTAAACTGTTGGTAACTTCAAGAGCTTGGAAATTGTTTTGAATTGTTGCATGCTAAGATCCGGTCTCCACTCTACGGTCCAGACAAGATAACTGACAGATTGATGGGAACAGTTTTAGTACTGGTAACACACCAAAATATCCATGCAATTGAAAAACTAGATTACTATTGCAACAAACTGTTATTATTATATACTTTTTTTCATTGTGTCCTGCTTTTCAAAGAAAACAACTGTACCTGTCTTCTTCTTCTTCTCCTTCTTCTTCTTCTTTTTACTCCGTGGCTCATGCGACATGAAAATGCTGTGATGCATGATTAGCTGTACTTCTGTAGCATAACAGAAATTACCTTCTAGGTTACTGCATAGCAAATATTCCAAGAATTTGATCATAGATTGCTAGTGTAGCAGTGTATCCCTCTTCATTTCCCTGTCCCATATGTAAACCAAACGTGGGAAAGCATATCCACAGCCCTTCGTTTCCCTTTCCCACCTTCCGTATCCTCCCATTATCCAAACATCACCTCAGTCAGCTTGCCTCCTAGTAGGCTTAGGACGGACGGCCGCACGCCATCGAGCTTCAGATACTGGCGCCATGGCTATGGCGGTAGGAGCAAGGGCGGCTGGGGAGCTGAGGTTCCCGACGGCGGTCCCGTGTGGGGCTGTCCGCCCACGCTCGTGCGCGCTCCCTCGGGTCACCGTCCCACGCGGCGGTGGCGGTCTCCCGGCGGCCGGTACGCGTGCGTGCGCTGCTTCTCCCTAACCATGGCTTGTTTAATTAATCTGTCAGCGCATCTCGAGCTTAGCAAGAAATAGACCGCCGGACTGTTTCGTTATTGGTACCGATGTGTTGCTGATTCTAGGCGAACTTCATTGCGCCAGATGTGCTTGGCCATTCTGATTCCGCCGTCCTCCAGCACGTATGCAGAATTGGGCATGATTAGGCTGTCATCTTTTGTCTTGTGAGCGAGCCTCCAAGAATTTAGGGTGCCACTCTTTGTAGAGCTGAGACCAACCACTCGGTTTAGCTTATCTCACCTTCACTCATTTAGTCAGCGTGTTGTGTGGATGAGTGGAATATTAACAGAAAAAAGATGCGCTCTCAAAGTCTGAACAGCAACCTCACTTGACTGACTGGACTTGTAGTCAGTATGGTTCTTCTTCAGGCGTGGGATCCACATATGTCAGATTTCCAAAAAAATTTGTTAATCGAACATTCCATGTCAAGGCGTGTAGGTTTTGATAGGGTCCTGACTTAGTCATTCCTTTGGTCACGGCTAACAACATTTACCACGTTGCTGCTTCCTATGGTGCCAATGGACAGTGTATCCACTTCAAGTCTTGCTTGTTGATGTTGACTCCGTATTTCCCAGCTGACTTCTTGTCACCTGCGCTAGGCCCATTCAGAGCACGCATGTGCCTTATTTTCCAGTAATATTGGAGTTAATGTGATCGACTGATCGCTGATGAAATGTCGACAGTTCATTGCATCAGTTCCAGTTTGATGCCCGCTTTTTTCATAACAAAACTTCACATAGATGTGTTCGAGTTGGGAATGACAGCTCTCTCGCATTTCATTGGAGAATTGCTGCAATCGATCGACACTGAATTACATTGTGTTGTGGACTAAGGATAGTTTTAGCATGGCTATTATTAGTTGTGACTTGCCCCGGGTCATGCAACTAGTAAAAAATGGAAATAGTACATTATGATAGTGTGCCACATATCATCATGATGTCGCTGTGTTTGTCAAAGGAGCCTCCAAGTTTGAAGTACACTGCAAAAGATCTTAGGCTCCAAGAGTAACTGGTGTGCTGTCACAATTTCTGTTTTGTCCTGTTTATCCTAGTGTTGAATATTCTGTACAATCCAATTGAAGTAGTCAAACAGTTGGATTTAGTTAGCTAACAGTTTTGTTAGGTTAGCTATTTGGAACTTGTTTTGAATCGTTGCATGCTAAGATTCAGTCTATACTACAATCCAGAGTCTCAAGACAAGGATTGATGAGAACAGTTTTAATGTTGGTAACTTCAAAATCTTACAAATTGTTTTGAATTGTTGCATACTAAGATCCAGTCTACACTCTATGGTCCAGACAAGATAACTGAAAGGATTGATGGGATCCAGTCTATATTCTGTTTTGAAATGTTGATGCAATTAGAAAAAGTGATGATTGCAACCAACTGAAAGGATATTTCTTTTGCAAGTGTGGGATTCATGCTGGATTTCCACATCCATTGAGTGATGGAACATCTCCAAGTCATGACATTTTACATCTGTGCATTTCAAGATGTGGGTTTTTTCAAGTCCTTGTTAGTCACTTTCTTTGGCCTTCTCGTGTTATTTTCAGTGTCCTGTGTTTCTCAATATACAGGTTTCGTCTAAGGACTTCTACCATGCTGCTGCCACGTGTAGTGCATATAACTATGTAGCCATTTCTAGCTTTCCATGTTGATAGTGATCACATATGACCTCGCTTCTTGTCACTGATCATGTTCGCTTGTTGATTTCAGCTAGGGCTTATCAATGTTTTCCTCTCACAACAAACCAGCACCAGCCGGGCTTATCAGCCCAGAAACCAACCAGCGAATAGGCCCACTATGTGCTTTGTTTCATTCAGAAGTCAGAATGCCCATGTGCCTTATTTGCAGCAATATTGGGAGTTACTGCACTAGTCGAAGAAATGAGACACTTGTCTTTTTGTTGCATCAGTGCATCACTACCAATTTATTGGCCATTTTTTCAATCTCCCCATTTACGTGTTCTAGCTGGCAATGACCATAGCTTTACCCTTCTTCTGGTTGGAAATTACTGCAACTGGCAGTGATTAACATGATGCTAGTTGTGGATTGATAAGGATAGTTTTAGCATTTTTTGTAAAAGAAAAATAAAAAAGAAAACTTGTCTGGCAAGGGAAGACCGCCCCCACAGTATTTTTCTTGTTTATGGCATGCAATAAGTCAAAACAGAACAGTACAATAAGCTGATGGTATTGTCTCCTACATGACTGTGTGTCTGTGTTTGTCAAAGGAGGAGGCACCCTACAAGTTTGAAGTACTGTATATGAGCAAGTCTCCAAAAGATACTGCTGTGCTGTCACGATCCTAGTATGAATAAACATTCTATAATTCTGCTCAAATATTCGAACAGCAAAATTTAGTTATCGAACAGTTTCTGCTAGGTTAGGTCTGCTTGGAACCCTTTTTTTTTTGAAAGGAAGGTCTGTTTAGAACCTGCTGTGAATCATTGTGTATTAAGCTTCAGTCTACACTCCTATTCCATGTAAACATTTTGGTCGGTTTTTAACACAAACTTCAAATGGAGACATGATGAAAAAATGGTGATTCCAACAAAAGTGAAGTACAAATTTTGTCACTATTCCAAGTGAAAATCTGCAGTCATGCTGCAGTTTTGACATTTTTAACTTCAGATCACTCATTCCAAGTAAAAAGAAGTTGATTTAAGACTGCTAGTGTGAAAGAGAACCTTATTTCCTAATATGATTGCTGAAATACGGAGCTCTTGTTCTCCTAGTTTGTGTCTGCACCATGTCAAGAAATCGAATAGGTACAAACTGAGCGATAACAGGCGCAGAAATTATTGACAAGCCTTATAGTTTCTTCATTATTACTCCCTGTGTTAAAATTATAACATGTTTTGGCTTTTGCAGACACATTATTTTTCTATGTATCTAGACATAGTGTATATCTAATTGCATAGCAAAACTTATGTATCTAGAAATGCCAAAACATCTTATAATTTGGAATGGAGGGAGTACTTGTTTACACAATATCTATTTTCACAAACTGCAGCAACTAAGATTTCTGCAGTTCCCAGGAGGAATGTGCTGTCAACAATGCTCTCCACTTCGACGATCCTGCTCTTGGGTCCGAGACAGATCACCTTAGCAGAGACAACCGGTGGCGCATTCAGGGAGTACATCGACATATTTGATGGCTACACTTTCCTGTACCCGAAGAGCTGGATCCAGGTCCGGGGAGCTGGTGCAGACATATTCTTCAGAGACCCCTTCGTCCTCGACGAGAACATGTCGGTCGAGATATCGTCGCCTTCGTCGTCCAAGTACACGAGCGTCGAGGATCTCGGCCCTCCGGAGAAGGCTGCAGAGAAGGTTCTCAAGCAGTACCTGACGGAGTTCATGTCCACCAGGCTTGGCGTTCGGCGCGAATCCAACGTCCTGTCAGCGTGTCCAAGGTCGCTGACGATGGCAAGCTCTACTACGAAGTTGAGGTGAGATCAAACTGGCAGGGCTGCTGCAAATTTCGTTTGAGATTCAGAGAAACGAGCTTCAGAGTGGACATATGGCTTAGGCTAGTACAGATCAGAATCTGAATTCGATGTGTGTGTGCTTGTGGTTTAACTTCAGGTGAACATTAAATCCTATGCGAGCAACAACGAGCTGGCGGTGATGCCGCAGGACAGGGTGCAGAGCCTGGAGTGGGACCGCCGATACCTGTCGGTGCTCGGCGTCGAGAACAAGCGGCTCTACGAGCTCCGGCTGCAGACGCCAGAGCAGGTGTTCATGCAGGAAGAGGACGACCTCAGAAGAGTCATGGACTCCTTCAGGGTCATCAAGGCGGCGTAGCTAAATATTGCAATGGTTTGTCGATTGTAGAGAGAGGATGCTTTTTTGTATAGCTGATGCAATACATTTGTTCATAACCTTTTGTATCGGCCGTGATGTTCATATTACATGTACCTTGTTTCCAAATTTTGCAAAGTCTTATTCTGTTTCCATTCATGTCTTGTGGGAATAACCAGTTGTAAATGAAGGTATGTGCGGAATTCATATCAAAGGTGTCAAAAAAGTATTGAACCAATCAGTTGCATATGATCTATGCTTTTTATATATATAAGGTGTCTATATAAGAAGTTTAATATTGCCATTGTATCATAGACGTGCAACTTGGGTCCTATGTGCCAGCCGCTGCCTCCGTTGCATTGCATCCTGGCCTCACTAGTCACCAGTATGACGCCAAAGGGATGTTTACACTCTACAAGCATCAAAATGTACATGTACTCCATGCGAGGCTGCGACCTCCAAATGTGCCTCGAGTGACAAACCACATCTACATACTTTCTGCAAAGACAGAGCTTCACTTCCCGCAAATCAGGGATGGGTCAAAACTTCAGTTCTTCGGGCCCACCAATTTCACACTAGTTCTGTTTTGCAGACTTCTTCCCCTTCTGCTTCTGTTTCTGCTTCAGTTGAGTGAGGCCAGGCGCTGTGATCTTGGCATTCCCGACGATTGCAGCCACCAGCTCAGGATCTGTGCATGCCTTCATAAGCTCCTTCTCACGGTTGGTGGCATCAGGTGTGTGCAGGAACAAGCTCATTGCGGTTTTGGCAGCTGAAACCAACATACTTGAGCATCAGGACATTGATATACCAGGGGAAAAATGAAAACAAAGGGCGAAGCACTGAAGCTATAAACTTTTTTTGTCGGTTGATTGTCCTGAAATGATAAAAGAAACATACCTTTCCCTTTCTTTGCAGTGCCTGGGGTCATCTTTACACGATATTTGTATGTCTGCAATGCGTTGTAAGGGGCACACACAGGTACCGCATATAGCAAAATATCACTTGGTAGTGGGTTTCCAGTTAAGTAGTCCAAATCAATCAACTTTTCTTTCTCTTCATCACCAATTTCTTGAACATCGTCTTCGTCCATGGGACCATTGCCACCAGCAGAAGCAGTATTGGTACCCATAACGTCTCTGCTTCTACTAATGCTGCCATCGTTCCGGTCCACCTCAGATGTGCTTTCTGGGCAATCGCGAGAAAGATGTCCAGCCTTTTTGCATTTATAACATATTTTTGACGAGTCATCTTCACCTGGAAGAGTATAGGGTGTAAATGTTTTGAACTGTCAAACATGAAAATATGTACTTCACAAACTTTCATTTTCCAGTTCAACATGGGAGGACATTATTCAGCAAACTAACATTATACTATTTCAAATAAAAGTAAGTCAACTAACAGAAGACTGATGAACAGAACATTCTGGCAAAAATTGCTATTGTACAGAATAGGAAGAACAAAAAGCGGTAATCACTATCCATGCAAGGAGCTACCACATCACAAATAGAAGCCTGAAAATGAGAGGAAAATGTCAAAGTACCAGCTGATGGTTTTGATTCTTTAACAGAGGTTTCTTCTCCATCTTGTGAAGGCTTGTCCTTCCGTGATGCTTTCCCAGATGACTAGCATGACAGGTACGAGGGAAAATGTTAAAACTTGCAGTATGAAGGGAAAGGACAATAAAATAGGAAAGAAGATAAATGATGTTATTACCGCAAGCAATGCCATACGGATCTCCCTTTCTTCTTCATCCTGCTCTGCATATTTCTCTTTAATCTTCTTAAGCTTCCCTTTCTGTCCACGGCTTACTTTAGCAGCAGCCTGAGTGCTTCCCTTGCCCTTTTCTTGCTGTGAATTACCTGGCTGGCTTAATTTAGAACCAGTACCCTTTGTGTTCGCCTTTCCTTTTTCTTGCTGTGAAGTACCTGGCTGGCTTGCTTTAGAATCAGTAGCCTTTGTGTCTGCCTTTCCCTTTTCTGGCTTTGAAGTACCTGGTGTTTCTACAGCTTGACCATTTTGAGAATCAGTGGCAGTTTCACCATTAACTTGGCCCTTCTTCAATTTTCTTCTCTCTGCTTTCGATATGTATGGTTTGTCTCTTATAGTTGGCCTTTTCACTTCAAGATCATCGTCATCTTCTGCTAAACTTGAAGGGATGCTGGTGAGCAAAGAGCTTTTACCTGACACCTTTGCAGGGCCAAGGCGAAGAGTCTTATCTAGCAGATCATCAAGTTGAGATGAAACAGAAGCTTCAATTGTTTCTTCCTTAGAAACGGAACTTCCATTTTCCAAGGTTTCCTCAGCTTGGATTTCAGGAAGAAGTTCAGGTGACTTGGCAGCAGTACCAATATTGCTAGACAGATCAGGAAGCTCAATATCATTATTTTGTTGAATGTTTGTAGTTTGCCCGCTTGATTCATCTTCATGGGTTTCCTTGTTTGCATCTTTATCACTACCAATTTCTTCATCAGATTCAGAGTTACTTTGCTTCTTGCGAGACTCTGCTTCCATTTCTTGGAGGGCCTCATCTTCACCCCTAACCCTCCTTTCATTCAGATGAGATGCCAAGGAGCTCTCATCCAAACGGAAGAGTATACCAAAGCCCATAACAAGGGGGTGAGGTGGAAGAAAATTTTTCTTTCCACGGATCATAAAACTACCAACAGTAAGGTACTCGCCAGTAGGAGCTGTCTTGCTAACTTGATGTGGATACACCCACCAAGCACTTGTAACAATTTTTGAATCCCATGCTTTGCTGTGGCAAACCTGAAGCAAGAAGGCCAGGATCATATGAGCACTGACTTTTTAAAAGTATTGTCCTAAATGTTTAGAAATGAACTTTAACTCACAGTGAAGCATCCTGCTTGGTTTAATGTTAACGGTGGAATAGGAGTGTCAGGTTTGTGATTCTTGATTATAGTACTGGAAGCTCCATGTAACTCGGCATGCACATACCTATTCAAGATTCAAAATCAACCAGTTGCTTCTATGACAAATTCATGGAACAGAATGAACATATCACAGCAATACAAAACTTATGAGGCATTACAGTGGACGTTATATTTTTCGATGATCAATTGTAAAATATGACAGATTGTGAAAACCAAACGCATTAACATCATTGTTAATATGAAAAGAAGGATTTACAACAAATTCAGCGATACTCTATATGATCAATCTAAATATTTTTTCTTAATGAATGGTCAAAGTTAAAAGAGTAATTATTTAAAATTATACTCTTGACTGCATGCTTACTGTAGAAAATATATGTTAGCACACCTTATCTATAACATTGAAGGACTTCTCGTGACATATCGGTATAGTTTTACTTTGCAAATATATAATATTTTATATGTACCTTCATATAATAAGATTGAAAATAAACTGGAAGCATTCTAAACAGGAATAAGGGTAAAATTACAGATCTCCTTTGGACATATAGCGCTTCACAATCAACTCGTTTTGTTGAGCATCTCGGCCACTGATAATCAAGTAGTTTTCACTGCTGATGAACCAATTGAATTTCTCAAACCAGTGAACTTTGCGCATATGAGTGATTGCAGCTACCGTTTTTTCCTACAGGTGTCCAGGTATAAAAGTTATGTCACCATCCAAACAAACCAAAAGACAAAATAATTGCTTCCAAAGGCAGGTATGCCTTTCATTTAATTATCAGCCATTCTTATGAACTATGCCTCTGCTATCTGGGATGAAAACCAACTGAATATTGTTGGGTTTTTCAACAGTAACATGTAGGATAAGTTTTTTTGTGCAGGGCCCACAAAAGTCTGAAACTTAACAGGAACCAAATATCAACAATCAATTTTTGCGTTGCAGTACAAGTCTACAACTATGTTTGTTATAAAAAAGTACCTGAGCAAGCTGAAGGCGTGTCTTCTTCTCAGCTGCTTTAAACGCTTTCTCATGAGCTGTGATAGTCTTCTCTTGTTTACTTTCCTGTTTCTTCTTCATTTCATACCACCGTCTTGCATTTGCATGTGCAGAAAGCGCTATATCAACCTCTACCTATGGGAATAAAAAAGCCTCAAGTTGATAAGAAAACAATGTGACGATAATGATATTGCATTGTAAGTTAACTATTGAAATATAGTATGTTATATGTACATGTAAAAAGACCAAAAATGTATCATGAGTTTATGGGTCAGCATAAATAAAATCATGAAAAGTAGTAAAGTACTCTAGCACCATGGAGATGTGGGCATGTGGCCTGTGGGTGTACCAGGAAATACTATATGTCGCATATGTAACTACAAGCCGTAGTCATCTTGTTGAACACACACGGTGAGATCCAAACATTTTAATTTTCTGATGAAACATAGTTTTCTTCTTTGCCAAACATTTTTCCTACCCAAATAGAACATTTTTTTCTTCTAATAATGCAACATTTCCTTTTCCCTTCTCGGTGGAATAAAATTGTTCCCCAACTGGAACAACTTTTATCCTTTTGTTCCATCACAGAAAAAACTTGTTACACAAAGAAAAAAAAATGTTCCAGCAGCAGCAGAAGAAAAATGTTAGGATCTCAGAATAGGTGCGCGACAAGATGAGTTCCCATTGCATATGTGACATATAACATCCCACGATAGGGGTGGTGCTTGATCAAGTAAAGTACTTTACATGGCTGTCTTTGAAATAAAAAGGTAAAAAAGTTTCGACTCACCAAAGCACAATGTAGCAGGGGAAATGAACATACATAGTTACACACAGTATGCATAATACATGACTAAATCTCTTCCCAGGAACATCAGATCCAAAGAACCATAAATTAGAAAGTGCCAACACAATTCCATATGGTTGAAAAAAAGAATAACTTTCCAGGCTATAGAGCATGGAGGAAACCTATGCATCTGTATAACATACCTTCTCCACAGGTGCAGTTTTTTCATCCTCATCCATGTCATCAAGATTATTGCTCAAGAGTAGAGTGATACAATTTCTTTCAAAATTTAGTTTATCGATAAGGCCTGCTACTGGGTTTCCAGCCTTTCTTTCCTCTTTAATCATGCGAGTAAGAGCATCCCAACTCATTTCATTTGCAAGAGAAACACGCACAGCCAAAATTGCTGCATCTACATCCTCTAAATTGTATTCAATTAGTTCTGCCATTTTGACACAATGGTCCACTTCCTTCCTCAATGTATGCACACGATTCTCCTGCATGGCAGAACAGAGGAATGGACTATCACATCTTCACCATTGCACCAAACAAATAATAATAACCTCCAACGGAAAAAGAAATACTATGAGAAATGCAATAGCTGAATTGCATAGGTGCATTAAAAGTGAGGTGAGATACCTGATCCAATTTTATTTTATTCAGCCTCTGAGCTGCAGATTCCTCTTTTGCTTTCTGCTGTTGATTCACCTTTTGACTTTCTATTTTGCTGTAGAACTCATCTAGTGCAGCATCAAATGTCGCAAATTCATTATATTCCCTTGACTTGAATTGATTCAGCAGAATAGGGCAATATTCATCATATATCTGCATACAGGAACTCAAACGAGTTAACTATCAAGACATTAAATCAAGCAGATGGTAATGTGCAAGTGCCAGTGCCCAATAATAAACAAGCATATATGATATTGTGGGTAACAAACATTTCTTGTGCATAAAACAAAAATGTAAATCTGCTCACTCAATTCCACAACAGTAATAAACCAAGCAAGGAGCAAATTATACAGACCTTATGATTAGTCGAAGCCTCTTCCAAGGGTGTGAGGTTCTTCTTTGCGGTCATCTTATTCTGCATGAGAATATAACCCTCAGGAATCCTTTGACCAGATATAATATCTACAAGCCAGTCCTCAAATCTTGTAATAGATTCCATTAGAGCCTGAACAGTGCTTTCATCGATAGTGCTCTCTGGATCTTTCCCGAACTTTGTACTTGGAACCAAACCAGCATCCAATATGATATGCTCTGCTAGTGCAGGGCCATAAGCCAGTGCCTCACCAAGAATTGTCTTTAGAGTAGCTTTATTGGATTGAACACCATTATTTGCTTTTGCATTTGAACCAGACTGCTTAGCTTTTGCAGCAGCCTTCTTTTCTTTTCTACTCAGTGATTTTTCAGATATTTCAGTTACCAACACTTCATCATTGGTGGATTGAGAAGCTTCCTGAGCATCAGCTGATCCAGATGTAATTTCCTCTTTATCATCAGCCTTATCAGGCATCGTCAACATGTCCTTTAACTTTGCAAAGTCAGTCCTGCCAAAAACACGGCAAGCTTCTACTGGATAGCGATGACGTGACATGATGGCCAATCCTTTGTTGTCATCTCTGCGATCCATACAATAGAAAATAAATACAATGAACACAGTATATATGAAAGAGAAGTAAAGAGCATCCTTGCATTGCATGTTAACTCTGATATTTTATCGTCCTTAGTCAATACTGCTGCAGCAATGGTAGTACATACAAAGTACAGCTTATCAATCAGGCAACAACCTGTGAGAACGGAGTAGTGTCATCACTGTGTATTCTGAATCTGTCAGAAGAATGTTTCCTTGTGCATAGAGCTCCAGAATTATGAAATGTGCATTACTGCCAAGCCCAAATTGGAAAAGGATAATCTGCACAGACAAAAAGATGGGCACAATTAAATGGTCAACGGACAACAATACAAAGCTGCTGACGTGAAATGTTTATCTGAAAGGAAGCGAAGCTGGAGCAATACCCTGTCATATCCGAGCATACGGACATCTTCAAGTCTCTTGTTACGAATGTGCTTTCGTAGTTTCAGAGTGAAACCCGAGGGGGTGGTGCTCTTGTCGCTGCGGAAATGCATACACACAAGGGTCTAGACATTAATGTTACAGAACAGGGTGATGAAGCAAACATCAACCAGGGCAGTGAGCAGAATCTCACCGGACGTATTGGGTGGTGTGGAACCTGACACCACTCTCCATGAGCAACAAGACCCTCTCACTTTCCCCTGATTCAGTAATCCCACTGCTGTTCATCAGCTTGAAAAGGTATGTCTGTCCAAGTGCAGAAAGATGTTACTGAAATTACATATGTAGTTCTGTACTAGTATCATCATCATATATAGTAAAACACAACTACGATGTGTGAGACTGCCGAGAACAATATGATCTGTTTGTATGATGTACTGGTAATACAATAATTTTATTAATGACCCAAAGAATTGAGGGAGCTAAGCCTTACTCAGAACTCAGAACAGATCGAAAGGCAAGAACCACCTGGTTGATCCTCACAAAATACTATTGAAGCGACACACAAGGTTGCTTGTATCCCACAAAACTGCACCTAAAATGTGCATCAAGAGCCTCAGCGAGCCAGTTCATAGCGTAATCTATTGATTATGTCGAATTTTACGAGTGGAAGCACAGGCTACATCAACTACTGAAAAAATAACACAAGGAAAATCTCATAGCACACGGAGTCACCAGTCACGCATCAAACTAAGAAGTTCTCTATGCCCTGGGCTCACGCTCAAGTTTGCCAAGTGGCAGCACAACTGGTTGAGCAGACTGAAATCCAGTACAGATTACAGAATCGCCTCCTAAGCCACGCCTCTACCGATCGCGGCGGCGGGGGACCAAGGAGAAGCCCCTTCCCATCCAACCTGCGCCCAAGCGGGGCGGTGGCTAGGGTTCGCGGCGAGCGGAGCAGCGAAGGCAGGGGACGGGGACCCAGCTAACCTTGGGGGTGATGTCGTAGACGTTGGCGAGGCGCATGCCGATGAGGCGGCGGAGGCACTTGACCTCCGCCGCCACGTCCGTTGTCGTCATCCGTGCCTTCACCATCTTGCCTCAGCCGCCGGTGCTACGGCAGCGCCGCGATCTTGGGGGGAGCTTTGGCTTCCTTCCTCCCTCCTCTCCGCCGCCTCCCGAGCTCTCTCCTCGTCGGCTCGAGTCGGGCTCGGCTCTGGTTGCGGCCGCCCACGCCCACCCACCTGGACCTGGAGTGGCGAAGGACGCCGCCGCCGCAAGGACGAGATGGGCCGGTCCGTTGTCCGTTGATCGCCTATCCTCTGGCCTTTACGTCCAAGGCCCTTTTTGTAACTGAAGTGGGCCGCAGGTTACGGATCCGTTATACAGGGCCCATTCTCTCGTTTTAACGTAGACCATCAAGCCCAACAGACAGCTTTCTTTTTTTTATATATATAATGCTATGATGAGAGCGTCCAACGCCGGGAGTCCCTCGGAACGCTACCTGATCTCAAGTTGTCCATGTATTATATCCACCACATTGGATACCTCCCCATCGAGTAGCCACTCAGACTTATACTCTCCCCCTCCACGTCTCTGAGAAATCACAGAGCGCCACCGCTGCCTCCTTTCTCCATTTAAGCCGGCCACGCTACCTCCTTCCTCAGCTTGCGCAGTGCCACCCGGCCTCTTTCTGAACCCCGCCCGTCGGGATGCCTCGCCGACGTGGGGCCACCGCCTAGTTTGTTTAATTGCATATGTTTAACCGCATGTTGCAAAGTGTGTTTATCATCAATGTTAGTATGTTTTTACAATGGTTTAAAGTGTTTTTTTACGTGTTTTGAAGAGTTTCATCATGCCCGTCCGATGTCATCAGCTGGCACAGCTAGCTTATTAGCGCGCCTCTGGTCGTCCCCCCTAAATTCGGTTTATGCCAAGGGCACCCACGAAAAGACGGCACAAGGTCTTGTGGTGGTGCTCGCTCATCGTCGGCTCCCACCCAAGACCTACAATAGCTTGGGAATCGACCGACCCAATATATTGACCTCTCCTCCCATGATGCAAATGCTTGTTTCAAGTGTTTCAGTTGTTTTCGTATGGATGTTGCAAAAATAGATCGGGATGTTGCAAGTGTTTCAGATGCATCTTGCAAGCTTTCTGTTCCCAATGTTTTATTTGTTTTTTCAGACGTATGTTGCAAGTGTGTTTATTTCGATATTGCATATGTTTCACACGCATGTTGCAAGTGTTTTATCTGAATGTTGCGTATGTTTTACAATGGTTTCAAGTGTTTTTTACGTGTTTTTGCAAGAGTTTCATCTGTCTTCAGACGTATGTTGCAAGTGTAGCATCTCGATGTTTCAAAAGTAGATCGAGTATTGCATCTCCTCCTCGCCTTCTGCTGCCTCGCTTCAGTGTCTCCTCCTCTTGGTGTCGGCTGGGCATCTAAACCAGCGAACGGCGCGGGCCCCCCGTGTGGGGCACGCGAAACAGAGTATAGGCACGAGCGTCCGGTCGCTAGCACTACCGTTCTTTTTACGGAGGCACACGAATCCCCTCCACCTTGTTTTGCAACCAGGAGAGCCGGAGAGGATTTTTTTTATGTATGTAAAGAGCCGAAGAGGAATTGTTCATCATTTCGAACACAGAAGATTCAGGTGATGTTTTTTTTTACGGAGCACAAGTTCTTATTAGAAGCTCGAGTTCTCTGAGTTTACTTGATCATTTCATCGTGTTCCTAGTAGCTACTCCTAAAATTCGGTTTATGCATGTATAAACCGTGAATTGACGAATGTCCAGCGCATCTTGCGTTGGCAGAAAGTGATTCGACTTTTACTCGTTCTTAACACAAGGACCATATGTGGTTCTGCTACATACGTACGTATTCTAAGAAAATGTATGTGGGAGCAGACAGTTCTTGATCGAATGTGTAGCAGCATTGAGAATGATTGGTCAGATGGTTTGAGGGGCAATTGCATTTTTTTTGGGAGAAAGACACTCAAGAGAGTGCCTCAAAGAAAACAATAGCTTGTACAAAAGGACAACTTGACACAAAATGACCTTTAAACAATATATTGAAGTTCTTCCTTTGGTCGTCCATTGCCTGTCGAAGATCGAAGAACGTACTGAAAAGACAGTATTAACCTTTTGTTTCCTCGTCTCCTGCCATACTGCACCTGCCGCTGCTGTTTCTGCAAAGGACATTGTAAGGATTAGAGAAAATCTTCAAATTTGAAGGGGCCCCCGCGGTAACCAGCTTTTAGAAAGCTTCAAATTTGAAGGGCAGAGCAGTTAGAGAAGAATTAAGCTAGGATTTAAGGACCAAGTAATCAGAGGAGCAGGGTTCCAAAATGCTTGCAGTTGCATCTAGTATATTTAACTTCAAATTTGAAAAAGGAAAAACAAATTATTATTTCACTGAATAAAATGGACCACTAATTTGTTTGCATGATTGTGCCGCAGCTCTTCATAAGCGCTAGTAAGTAGAAAGACAGAAATACATGCGGATACTTGTGATTAAGAGAAGAAATCAAACCTCAACAATGAGTTATGCTTTGAATCATAAGAACTGAACTCCTCTTCCTCCAGTTTATGCTCCCCGCCCTTCAAAATCTCTTCTTCATCCCATCTTCTTACATCAAGGAAGAGCTCATCAGAAAGGTTGCTGGCTGCATTCTTGACAGATTCCTCAACGGCCTCCACCTCCTTAAACCTCGCACCATGACAAATAATCTCAACTTGGATATGCCTTAGGGAAGAGAGGTGCCAGATTCCAAAATCCAGAACATGGTGCAAAGAGCACACACCATGTGCGTTGAATGGAATCCGGAGTTTTTCAAGCATTGGCATGGCTCCTGGTTCAAAAGTCAGCCCTGTACCAATTTCCCAACAGGTGAAGTAGAACTCCTTCAGACAACGGAAACCATTGCTGCTGACAATAACCCCTTCTTTAGGCTTTGCTTCTCTTGAGGATATCCAGAGAAATGACAGAGAGGGCAAATCCCCCACGGTTCGAAATGATTCCTCATCCACTGGAGTAAGATATATGTCTAGGTAACTGAGGTACTCCAGTGAGATCATCCAGTTTGGGATTCTGGGAAAATAGTAGTCTATGGACATATCAAATTTTTGGAGCCGGCGGGGCGGAGGAAACCAAGAATCCTGTAAGAAATCAAGGGAACAACTATGATAACTTCGAATCTGTATCGATTGAAGATTGAGCATGCCTAATTTGCAGAGGGACATAACCAAACTATCTGCATGGATTTTTGTTACATAATTTGTATCGATGATGCACCAATTTAGCCCAAGAATTCTTATATTAGTCAATTTGCCCAGTTCCAGCAAAGAAGACACTGATGTATGACAATTAATTTCAATCTCTGATAATTCCTGTAGAGCTTGCATGTTTCCAATTCTTTCAGGCAATTCTAAACTGTTAACCAACAAGCATGTCAATCGTCGTAGGAGAACAATACTCTGTGGCAACCTTTTAATCCTTGTCCACCTCAAATCTAAGGTCTGCAAATTTTGTAGATCTCCTATTTGTTCAGGAAGTGCAGTTATTCTTCTTGAACTGAGTCGGAGGTACCTCAATTGAGAAAGCCTACCTATGTGTCTAAGGTAATTGTATTCCAGCACCACTCTATTTTCTAGATCCAGAACTCGCAAGAGTAGAAAGTTGGAAAGACCAGGCATATTCTCAGCATACCCAAAGATAGTGAGGGATCGAACATTAGAAACAATCATATTTGTTGGCACTATAATATCATCTCGGGCATGATAGTTGATGCATAGCTGACGAACCTTATCTTGTTGCACCAGCTTGTGATTTCGTCACCACATAAGGTTAGAAAGTTTTCTTCAACTGATTTGGATATGATGAGATCAAGAATCATACCATGGACACGGCAAGCATCAGCCCGACCATCATACTGAATTCCAACAGGCTGAATCATGCTCCTGTTGATAAGCTCATTGAAATAGCATTCTCCTATTTCCTCCATGCCTTTTCCACCTTCTGTAGTGATAAAACCTTCAGCAATCCATCTTCTTATCAATCAATCCCTCTTAATCTCATAATCTTCAGGAAACACACCTAGATATAACAAGCATGTCTTCAAGTGGTAGGGGAGATCATTGTAACTAAGCAAAAGAATCTTCTTCATCTCTTCCATACCTGTATATTTTTCAACTGCTGAACCAATATACTTCAGCATCTTCTCCCATTCTTCTTTTGTAATAGCTTTAGTGACCAATAAACTAGCTACTGTAATGATTGCCAATGGTAAGCCACCACATTTTTTCAATATTCCATTGGAAACTTCTTTCAGATGAAGAGGACATCTATCTTCAGAACCAAAAATTCTATTAAAAAATAAGCTCTTAGAGTGAGCTGCATCAAGAGGCTTCAGTTCATACACATGGTCATGGTGAGGAGAGCAACAATACTTAGTAACTGTGATGATGCGAGTAGTTGTCAATATTCTACTGGAACAATTATTTTCAGGAAAAGCACATCTGATAGTTCTCCATGCTGATGTGCTCCATATATCATCAATTACAATAAAGTACCTAACACGAATTTACACAAATAAATAAATAGGCACACGTATATTCCTTCAAAGCAAGATTGTCATGAAAAGAATCAAATATATGATGCATACCTCTTATCCTTAAGGAACTGCCTTATTGTGTTGATGAGTTGCTGCTCATCCCATACTTCATTGCTGCCACACTCTCGGCAACGATACTGGCAGAGTATATGCCACAATATCTTCTTAATGTCAGGTTTTTGTGCCACTGACACAAAAGCTCTATAGTCGAATTGCCCTTCAAGCTTCTGGTACACTTCATTGGCAAAAGTAGTCTTCCCAAGCCCACCAAATCCAACAATGGAGAGCACACTCAGCTGTGTCGTTGTGCCCTCTCTTTCTGTTAGCAACTTGATAAGTTTGTCCCTTGGGCCATCAACGCCAACAAGCCTTGTAGCCTCAGTGTACAATGCCGGCAAGCGAGGGTCTATGCTTGTTCTACTCAATCTGGGGACAGCATCATCAACCCTGTGCCTCCCATGCCGATTGCTAGCGTCTATAACATGGCATTTGAGACATTTGATCTTCTTGGCAATCCAATGACGTGTCTTAGCATCTGCAAACAAGTTCAAGCACCTACCAACAAACCCCTTGAAGCCTCTAGGTTTGCTGTTGGACTCACAACCAAGAGAGAACATGAAACTGTCGATGCTGTCCTCAATGTCGTAGGACAGCTCCTGCACCTCCTTCATCCAGCACTTGGACTGCTCGTCAGGGTCCTCCACCTCTGACATCTTCTTTAGGAAAGCATGAATGACCTCAAGCTCAGTTTTAAGGAACATCATATCCACCTTCACACTACTAAGAAGCTTGTACTCATCAGAGAGTAAGGCACCCAGCTTCCACAGCAAGGAGCCCATTGCTCCATGTGATGCACACACAATAGCTTCCATCCCCACCCCTCACTGCATCTGGTGTCAGTGTTTGTGGCTGTGTAACTTTCATGTTTGAAGGCTCTTCTTATACATGCTCAATAAGTCAACTACACATGTACAAGAAAAGGAAACGACTAAAGTATAAGAACAGAATAAAAGGAGTAAGCAGCTAATCCAGGTAAGGAAATATTCAGGGAAAGGACATGGAACCTTAAGATAAACAAATAGATAAATAAGGTGACAGGTTTAGAGCAAAGTTGTAAAGATTTTCTTAAGGGAATCTATGATTAGTCAAACCACTAACTTAGGATCTGTCCAGTGTCTACTAAGATGACTACTACGTATGTACACATATGACAATATGGACGCCCGTGACCTGAAAAATTATAATTCAACATGGGACAGCGGGAGTTGTTTGAGCAGTACGGACTAGAATATTATGTCACATTGTTTATACTTCATACCAATCATCCCCAGTTTCCAACAAGCTAAGCAATGCTAAACAAATTAGCAAATATAATGCCGGCCAAAAGAGCAGGTTTAGGAAGTTTTCTTTGAGCACACAAGGAGCAAGGGAAATTTCCAGTTTGAAAACCCAAGACCAGTGACCACAGGTGACTGGGTGAGGCTCATCTTTCAACATCATGGCATCACCCCTTCACAATGGTGAGAAGATTTTACATGAATTCTGAGCTTCTATTGGGGGAAGCACGCATCCACGAAGTATCCTAGCCTCTTACAGATGCTTACTGCCAAGCACACATGAGCAAGGAAAAGGAGATGACTAGGTGCATAATAAAAAGGGGAGGAAAACAACTAGCTAGGAGTAATAATGTGACCAACAGTCCCTGTCTAGCTAGTTTGCGGTCATGCCAAAAGAAAAGGGGTTCCCAAATTGCACAGAGCAGATTTGAAAGATCACTGAATCTGTCAAGATTAAAGACATGAAGCACTTATGAAATCATAGGAAAGAAGTGTGCAATTGCACAAGGCACTACTGCAACCTTCAAGGCTACTCAAGTCGTCAACAAGAAAGCAAGAAAAGGGCCTCGATTAGCCATGGTTCGCTCTCACCGAGCAGTTGAGCCACTACCTGAGGACAAACCACTATCAAATATCAAACTGCAGCATTCAACTGCCGAATCAATGAAAGATTAGTCAAAGAACTCGCCTGTGACGTAACGACAATTTGAGCCCGAACAACAGGGACTGCGTGGAAACCTGCGATTTCTTGAACCGCCCAGCGCGAGAAAGAAGTGGCCAGTCGTCGCCTCGTTGGTCCAGCCCGCCAGGCGCCCGACGAGATCTCCCTGTCGGTTGACGGACCATCGCTGACGGTATCACATCACATTCCCCCAACGCCGGCCTAGGAGAGTAGGAAGACAGCGCGGCCAGCAGGAGGAGAGACGGACGCGTGTAGCGGTGTAGGATCCACGCCCCGGTCTCTAGCAACCGCCGCCGCCGCACGGGCACGGCGGCGCACCGACGACCGCGGCGGCCGGACCGCATTGTCACGGGTGCTCACTTTGAATCTCCGACAGGTGGGATGAGGTTTACGTGGTCCACTTGTCATACGGCGGTAGGAGAAGGAATTGGAGGCCTTTTGGGCCCATTTCCTAACTTTGGGCTCGCGGCTGGGCTAATTTGTACTATAACTGGACCTGTTTCCAGTGGCCCATTTTGAGTAATACTATGTCGACATAAATTATTTTACAAAAAGTCCTTGTACAATAAAACTATTGTGACAATGAATGAGTACCCTTACCCCGTGCATCAAGCCAACGCCTACCAAGTTGTGAACCAATACATCGATGCCAAAGAAACTGCAGTGAGCAGGTTGCTTGTCTATCTTAACTACCCCTTTAAGTTAATCGTTAGCCATTAGATTAAGAGACTCTTTTAAATTACGCTTCAATTATTAATTCATCTTACACTAGCAAAGAAAAAAATAATCGATTGATGTGTCCCTCTCGTATTAGATTTCGCATGAATGCATTAGATTTCGTATCTTCCGTACTTAAGGAATTTTATTCTGAGGAGCTGTGTACGTGCTCCGCAATGCATTCATGTGTCCCTCTCGCCTTTGCTTTTTTTTAAAAATTCAGTCTTTGCTTTTTTTACTTCGTATATTTGTGTGGATTGTACTGGGTTATTATTATGTCTCCACGAGCAGCACGGACCGGGAGAAAAATGTGATGGACGATAGAAGGACGGGAAGGGCACGGCTAGCACCGGACGGACATCCTCGTCAGGACGCCCGTAGTTGCAGTCGATTTTTCTCTCCGTTTTGCGTGCGTCCACGCGTGTGGGTTCGTGCCACCAAGACGTCGCTTGACCGTGCCCATACATGGGTCCGCCGTCGGGTATCGATATTAGGATACCCAAAGTAAGAAAGTTAACGCTCACGCTAACTTTTTTGGATGGCTCGAAACGTATTAAAAGGTCTCGCCCGACTCCAAGGACGCGGGCCCCGTCTCACCTGACCTCAAGGCCACGGGCTCCGTCTCGCCCGACCCCTTGGGTGCGGGCTCCATCTCGTCCGACCCCTTCACCGCGGGCTCTGTCTCGCCCGACCAATTGGCCGTGGGCTTCGTCTCACCCGACCTTAAGGCCGCGGGCTCCGTCTCGTCCGACCCCTTGGTTGTGGGCTCCGTCTCGCCCGACCCTTTGGGTGCGGGCTCCGTCTCGCTAGACCCAAGGACGCGGGTTCCGTCTCGCCCGACCCCTTGGGCGTGGACTTCGTCTCGCCCGACCTTAAGGCCGCGGACTCCGTCTCGCCCGACCTCGAGGACGCGGGTTCCGTCTCGTCCAACGGGAACCCATACTAACACCAACCACTCTAGGTCCAAGCGTATGGGCCTGGGTTAAAACTCTGACGTCAGGAAAGAGACTGGCACGCCTTGATGTAACCCGTGGCCATGACGGGCCATACCTAGGGATTCACATCAAGAACAGTGTCGGACGTGCCGGTGCTGTTCTGCCTAATCCTCGTACAGACACTGACAGGCGCGTCAGTTCACCATGACGTCCGCTAGGATGAAGTGGAACGCCATGACCAACAGATGACGCCTGTGCATGGCGCTAGTGACGAACAGGGCCACGACATAGAGCCATCTCCGTTGACATCTACAGGATCGGCGGGACCCCACATGAAGGAGAAGGACTCGGTGACCCTAGAAGCCTTTTTCTCTCTCGTTCTTCTCCTTTTTCTCATCTGTAACCCGCGCTTTTCCTTCGCCTATAAAAGGGAAAGCATGACGCCTCTACCGGGGGATCGAAGACATGAGCGCACGACACGAGCACACGGCTGAGCGACAAGCGAGCTCTCAGCACCCGTTCACTCCTTCCACTAGAGACTTGGGTCCTCACCCTCTCTCGCCCGTTTGTAACCCCTACTGCAAACCAAGTGCCGATAACACGAGCAGCAGCAAACTAGACATAGGAACGTTCCGCCCAAACTAGTATAAAGCCTTGTATCCTTGGAGCACACCATCCGAGCCAGACGCGCAAATACAAATTTACTCGTCGGTGGTCCGAAAACATCGACAGTTGGCGCGCCAGGTAGGTGTTTTTTACGCGCCTCGACGTCCACATCAGACCTCAGATGGCTAGTCGCGACGTCAGCTGGGTCCCGGGCATGCACGTGCGCTTCAGGAACCTGGACTTCATCGTTACGACAGATAGAGAGTTGGCGCAGGTTCCCACCGCCGTCCAGCCTCTCCACTCTGCCGACCTCGACACGATCGCCGAGGCGGTTAATGAGCTGCAGCTGCACGCACCGGAGGCCCATGCCTCCGGTAGTGACCAGCTCCTCGGCTTCGATTACGGGAGGCTAGAGCGCCAGCTCGGCGCCTTCCTAGAACCCCGACCGTCCCGGGAGGAACTACGCCGCTTCACCTTCTCGTTCGCCAACGTCATGACGCAGCTTGTCGGAGGAGAGCCGCTCTCCCCAGAATACCTCATCTGGAGCGCCCCGACAGCGCTCCTGTCCGGTCTGCGCCACGTCACAGAGACCGTTGGACACCTTATGGCGCAGCATACGCCCCCATCCCCTACGAACGACGAGTTCGTGGGGATGACCGAATACGTCACAGAATCTTTCCTTGACCTCCTCGCGAGAGAATCCGAGTCATCCTCCGACTCTGACTCCATCAGGGGAGCCATCACCCCTCGCGTGAATATTTCATGGTAGGTACCCCTGAGGGATACATCTAAAGCATACACGAGGGAGGAGCTACCCCAATAGACGACCTCGACGATGAGGTCGAGGGGGATGCAAGGCCCCACCTCGCCTGTGGGTAGAGCAGCTGAGGGCGCGGCACCAAGAGCTCGAAGAAGCACGACTCTAGCTCGAGCAGAAACACGCGGAGCTCGAGCGAGAGATCGAGCGCCATGGAGACAGTGGGCGTGTGGCCCATGATGTGAACCGGTGGAACATCGAGGATGATGAAGCCCTCCCACACTTCACCCGAGCAAGCCAGAACATCGTTGCTGTGGCGGCCTTACTTTGGGGGCTTTTGGGGCCCGCGACGCCCGAGGATCGTCGGTCCCATCGCGAGATTCGAAAGCTACTCGATCGTGCGGCGGCGCAGCAGGCCGAGAGCTCATTGTCCCGACGACATGAGCTCGGCGCCAGCCAGCGCGCGCCCTCAGAGCAACCCGATAGGGACGTGTTAGTCCACCAGGCATAGCGAGGCGGTAGGTCGCGTGCCGTGATCCTGGTGCATGAGCGTCTTAGCCTCCACCGTGACAGCGCGCGACACCCTGGATGCCCGCAGGCGTGCCCATGGCAACGAGAGGGAGGAGGCTAGCCGTGGCTACCACCCTCGTCATGGCGGATGCTACAACAACGGCAAGGACCGAAGCCCAAGCCCCAACTTGCTGGGACCTCAGGCCTTTGGTCGACACATCCTCAACGTCGTCTTCCCACCACAGTACCGACCACCGACCAACATCCTGAAATACTTCGGGGAAACAAACCCTAGACTATGGCTCGAGGATTATCAGCTTGCCTGCCA